CAAACACAAGCTGCGTGTATATATATATATATAAATAAATATATATGTATATATATACATATATATATATATATATATATATATACACACACAAACACACACATGCATACACTGCTGTGTGTGTGTGTGCTGCTAGTGTGCTGTGTGAGGGTGCTGTGTGTGTAAGGGTGCTGTGTGTGAGGGTGCTGTTAGTGTGATGTGTGTGTGAGGGTGCTGGTAGTGTGCTATGTGGGTGAGGGTGTTTGTGTGTGTGTGTGTGTGTGTTTGTGAGGGTGCTGTTAGTGTGCTGTGTGTGTGTGAGGGTCCTGTTAGTGTGCTGTGTGAGGGTGCTGTGTGTGTGAGGGTGCTGTTTGTGTGATGTGTGTGAGGGTGTTGTGTGTCAGGGTGCTGTTTGTGTGCTGTGTGTGGGTGTTGTGTGTTTGTGAGGGTGCTGTTAGTGTGCTGTGCGTGAGGGTGCTGTTTGTGTGCTGTGAGTGTGTTTGTAAGGGTGTTGTGTTAGTGTACTGTGTGTGTGAGGGTGCTGTATGTGTGTAGGTGCTGTGTGTGTATGGGTGCTGTTTGTGTGCTGTATGTGTGTGGGTGCTGTGTGTGTGAGGGTGCTGTATGTGTGTGTGAGGGTGCTGTGTGTGTGTGTGTGTGTGTGTGTGTGTGTGTGTGAGCTGTGTGTGCTCTGTGTGTATGAGGGTGCTGTATGTGTGTGTGTGTGTGTGCTGTGTGTGTGATGGTGCGGTATGTGTGTGTGCTGTATGTGTGTGTGTGCTGTGTGTGTGAAGGTGCTGTATGTGTGTGTGTGTGCTGTGTGGGTGAGGGTGCTGTATGCGTGTGTGAGGGTGCTGTTTGTGTGCTGTGTGCTGTGTGTGTGAGGGTGCTGTGTGTGTCCTGTATGTGTGTGATGGGTGATTGTGGGGGTGGAGGTGGGGGCAAATTAGTTAATATCCCTTCTTACCTTTTTTATAGGGAGAGGGGACCATGCTGCTGCCATCCCTGGTGGTCCAGTGGAGAGTGAACTCTAGCCTGCGGAGCTAGAGTTCACGCTCACGAGATCTGAGCGTTGCCACGGCTGGCTAGCGCTCCCCGGGTCCTCTCCATGCTGCTGTGGGCCAGTGAGGTAGATCTTTGATCTCGGATAGAGCCGGCTCTGCATAACCCGACAGGGGAGATCCTGAGATCTCCTCTGCCGGTCTCAATCCATAGGCGTGCTGCGGGGATGAGGGTGTGCCCAGGCACACCTGGCACACACCGTGCGCACGCCTATGTCTGCAAGCATCAGTTAAACACTCACAGCCAATGATTGGAACTCTGTGCAAATAAATGTGCACAGAATTGTCATTAACCAGCCTGGAACCCTTGTCCCCCATGATGCTGGGGAGTTACACCTCTGCCAGCAAAGGGTTTAAACTTTGTATGTGCAGTGCTTCATAGCAAAATGCTGAACATACAGACTCCAGGCACCATGACCACTTCAAATCACTCAATTGATCATGGCGTTTAGAGTAGCGCTTTACATGTAAAACAAACATATAATATCTCCATTATCAAAGTATTTTTCAAAGAAAAGTGCTTGAGGTCTCTTATCCTAAAAAGAACTTTGACAGACAAAGCGTCACCATCCCTTTATAGGTAGTCCATTGCACTGGCTAGTAACTAAGGGCCTACTCTCAACACAGCAAGCAGTGACATGCAAAATAAATACCCATTCAGCCATCCCCTACTGTAGCACTGATCATCCCCTGATAATAACACAACATAAAAAAAAACAGACAGTATTATTATCTAAATATATGAACTATTATTATCCAAATGTAAATAAGATAATAACATTAAGTCAAACAATCCATTTTAGACGCAGGGCAACAAAAAAACTATATATACAATTTCTGGACTCAAGTCTTCAATGACACTTATGATGTCACCTTAGACCAGGTCTCCAGGAAATGTAGTTTAAAACCGGATATAAAAGAGCTTACTCTGTCCTTCCTGGCTGCGTCAGGCTTACCTAGACAGACTATTATCTGTAGTTTTACAACCCATTGTAAATCATCCCATCCTTAAAAATCATCCTAGTTTTGTATCTATCAGTCTTTTTGCACTTTGTGCCACTTTTTGTGTAACATTTATGATGGTGGTGTTTGATATTATGGAAGATTTAAGAAAATATTGTTTTGTCATTATGTGTATTTTTAAGATGGCATATCTCTTTCTGAAAGCAGTGTATAATAGTTACAAAAACGTAAAGGAATACTGCACAAACATGTATTCCTGACTGTAGTGTTAAACTAACTATTTCGGTTAGCGGCCTCCCCTTGCATCTCAGTAAGGTAAGGTATTTAAACTCACCTTTTTTCCCATGCCATGTCAGTCTCACTGCAGCTGGCTCTGCCTCCATGGCTGTGATCATCACATTTACTTGATGATTTCAGCCAATCCAATGCTTTCTCTTTCTCATAGAGACGCACTGCATCAATACATTCTATGGGGAACGTTCCTTTTACATTAAAAGGCCTGCAGGGACAAGCTATAAACACCATAACAACTATATTAAGCTGCAGTGGTTCTGGTGAATATAGTGTCCCTTTTGGTTTCAGGTGTCAGATTTCTGGAGATTTTGGTATTTCAAGGGTAACTTTGAATATATGCATTTTTACATTAAGCATTGATTTTATGGTCTACCCTTGTGTACCCTAAAAAACATAGACATCACGCAAGCATTAAAGATCAAATAAAAAATAAAGAAAGGGTAGAATGTTTTTATAGCATAAAATTGATTTCTACTAACATACATATTTTCTTTTAATATTTTTTTACACTTTTGAGTGTTCTCTAAATATGCAACAGGCTGTAAAATGCCTCACATATTACGGGTCTAGTTTAATGTTCCTGAGGTCACTGTGAGCTGATTGATTCAGTATCATGGCCCGGCCCTGTTAAAGATCAGGCTACTGTCCTAATATAAAATCTGATTTTATTATCAGACAGATAAGTAAACAAAGGCAAACACATTGCATATGTATAAAAAATTTCAACAGCGTTCATTTCACTGTCTGGAATGTCATTAAGCTTTTTTTTTTTTTTTATATGGAGCTGTTGGCCAATAATCAGGAGCTGTTAATTGTACGAAAAGTACTGCGGCTCCTGTCACTGCCTCATTACTCACCAGACTTATCTACCATAAACAATATAACAGCTATAAAACCGTAAAACTGTAACTGGTAGTGAAAGGTAAAATGGAGGTGAACCTCTGTAAATGGGTGAATGTATCCTAATACACTTTAGCATTTATGATTCTTATCTGTAAAAAAATAAATTAAAAAAAACTGGGTCCTTTAACACAAAGGACATTGGCTGTAACATTGATTCTACAAGTGTTGGCCGTGATACACTTTATCAGATTACAAAAGGTGAAGGAATGCCATTTAGGACCAGTAGAGGGCAGTGGTGATAGAAAAACACCTGCAATGAGGATGTGTCTGGATGATTAAGGATGATTAGGCATTGATCAGACGTTGATAAGTAAGCTAATATTAGTCATTCTGTAATGGAGTGATGTTAACATATTGCACAAAAACAAGGATGGGTTTTGCACTATTGCATACATTCTACCGCTCAGTCACAGAGCCAGTGGTCAATTCGGGGTTATTGCTCAGCAAACCTCAGATCAATACCTCTTGCTCACGTTCCTCATTATTTCAAGCAGTGATGAAATGTAAGGATTCTATTTACTTTAACAGGTGGTTGTGTCACAAGAGCTTTCCTAATTGGTCATGACAGACATGTTAAAGATTAAAAATCATTCACCTGCGCAATTGATTGCTAAACCATAAATGACTATACTTCTTTGAGTTGTCTTAGTATAGTAATTAGCTATATTTGTGTTAGTGTTTCTATTTTGATCCTTAAGTCCACTCCAACAAACTTATATATAGTTTTATGGACCCTTAGGTTTTTTTTGTTTTTTCTAAATCACATTTACGTATATGTTCCATCACTTACAGGGTTATTCACTACAATGTGACATGTTGGGAAATTCAGTGACCCAGTAAATAAAATTCACTTTGAATTAAGTTTTAATTCCTATCACAGTTTGAAATGATCGTCTGGGGTCTGAAGATTCGTAAAGTGTGGGGTTTCTGTGGGAGCCGATTAAGGCGGTGTGCTGTCTCTGTAGCACGGCCCCAATATCCATGCCATCTGCCGCGGCATGCGGTTTTGGTGAGCGGCAGCCCATAGCTGGCACGTGGGCTGATGGAACGGCCACTGTAGAGGTTGGTTCTTCTCCCAGTTTCTTTGGCTCCACAGAACAGTGCCTCCAGGCTTGGGAGTGTCAGCGCATGGTAGGCCATGATTTTTCGCCTCTGTTTAGGCTGGTTGGGTGCCAGAAGGAATGGCATCTATCGACTCAGTGAGTCTAGAGGAGTCCAGCTGACCACGCTGGATGTGCTGTCTGTAGCAAGATTTAAATCGGATTATAGATTTGTGTTGAGGTGCTGTAAAGAATGGCATTCGTTACACCAAAAAATGCCTCTTTTAATTAAGAAACAAATAGTGACAAACACTTCCACCAAAAAAAACAAAGGAAATCATGAGTAGACATTTAAAAAAAAAAAAAGAAGCAGAGGGGGGCAGGGCCTGACTGCCGAGGGAGAAAGTTGCATAGTGGCAGAGCTCCTCATTTATATCTGGCAACAAGCCTTAATAACCAACCTCTTTGGACATTATCCCGAAAAAGATTGGTGTATCTTAGCTGGCAAACACCCTGCCACACACACAATTAGACCATGACTAATTACTAGCCCATTCATCAAGTGCATCTGTGGTGGACTCCCTTGAGGCCTACTGGGTGGCTCAGGACGAGAGAAGCGGACGGTCTCTTGTTGAGGAGTGCCCTATTACCATCTGGGCTCCGTTACCACCTCTATGGGCCGGTGGGGGTTATCCCGGCCTACACTGACTGATCTAGCCTCTCATGAAGGTATTTCATGCACCTACCAGAAGGTCATAAAATGCTCGACATCCGTGCTTTTGCCGAGTGGGACTTCTTACAGACGTTTCACAAAGTGTACAGTACCTTCAGGCTGAAGCTTGAACAATCTTCAATACCCACGGTGCCTCGGCACCCTACCCCGTTGCAGCATAACTTGCAGAGTTTGAGCCTTCGGATGGTCAAGGGGCTCCCATCGACTGCACCTGAGACACAAGATGGCGCTGGACAGAAGAAGCCGTCTATCTTTAGGCAGCGGGCACTTCAGGTCCGTTGGCCTACGCACAGCTCCCACACCCGGAGGATTTGGAAGCGGCAGCAATCAGGCCGAGCTAACCCAGCATACCGATACAACCCAGCCCCCGATGAAACTCCAGGAGCACACACAGAGGAGAGCACAATGCCACAACCTGCAATAGGATCTAGAGGCCGGTTGGTGTATGCCCGCAACTACAGGAGGCTGTAGGCCTAGAAGTGTGGAGGCAGAAGGCTCCATTGAGAGATTGATCCTTGGTGTCCCGGGCCCTTCGAAAGGGAGTCGGATAGACTCTAGTGACTATAAGTCAGCACACAGTTAGTTTTCTGGTTCCTTGGAACCCGCAAGGGTAGCTTTCAAGAGACATACCCATTTGGGTAAAATATATGCTTTAATGGTATTCATTTTTCCCCACCAAGAAATCTCCAAATAGTGCCTTTTCTTAAGAATTGTACTAGTATATTTAACCTCACGTTTACTTCCATTGCTTTCTTTGGATCTGCTGTAACTGTGATACCCAAATATTGGATTTTCTTTTTTGTCCATTGAAAGTTAAAATCTTTTTTGAGAGATTGAAATTTGGTTTCTTCAGTATATCACTGAGTCACATGATATATCACTATAACTTTGAATTTCCATCATTAGGTGAGGAAAGGAAATTTCCGGATCAGTTTTGGTTATCAGTATGTCATCCACTTAAAGGCATATCTTTGATTTACTGTTTCTAAGAATGATTCCTTTAATCGCTAAATTATTTCTTATATTAATCGTGAGAGATTCAATGACATAATATATAATTATGGAGATAGTGAGGAGTCTAGTTCTTTTACAGATACGGTACCAATTTGTACAGAAATCATGACCGATTATTCTAGATGATGGCACTATATGTAAGGCACCAATCACCTCTCCAATCCAGCCCTCAAATCAAATCTGAAAGAAATAAAAAAATCTTCTTCAAATATCCCCATTTGACCATGTCAAATGCCTTTTCTGCATCCACAGACAGGGTCAGAAGGGGAATCCCCCCAGACTGGGCAAAATCCACTACTCTACGTGTATTATTGCAGGACTGTCTTCCTGGTAAAAAAAAACAATCTGGTCTTGATGTATAAAATTGGACAGTACTGACTTTATCCGCTCTGCCAAGACTGATGCATATCATTTTATGTCTACGTTTATAAGTGAGATTGGTAGATAGTTTGAAAGATCTGTTGAAAGCATGTCCTGTCCTGTTTTAGAATCGGTATAAAATTTGCTCTCAACTATTTTTCTGATGCCTCT